AGCGAGCGTGCACACCAGCGGGAAGCTGAGCACCGGGACTGCAAAATTTTGGGCTCCATCGCCGTAGGATGTTGCTTTGGGCAAATCGCTTCTACGTGCCTCAGTTTCCCCACTGGGCCGAGCAGTGGGAAGGTTCAATTTCACAGCATCTTAAAACTGCAGCTGTGCTGAGGTAAAACACATGGAGATCGGGTACTGTGGGATGGGCACTGGCTTAAAACTACCCCGGGTAGATCTCGGGATGAAAGGTGCCGCATAAGTGCAAATTATTATTCTTGTTAATAACGATGTCCACCAGCTCACATTTCTCTGCTCTTCAATTAACTTTTTTTAAGGACTCTTAGCAGGTTAGAAAGACACAAATTTTCCCTGGCAGAACCTGTGCTGGTTTGACCCCGTAAGGTTACGCAATTACTGTACTGGCATGGTCCTTAATTAGACTCTCCATAATTTTCCCCAGCACGGCGGTGTGGCTCCTTGCTCTGTAATTCCCAGAGTCTCCTTGGATCTGATAGGCATCACACAGGCGCTTTCCAGGCTTCAGGGATAATTGCTTGTCCTTAAGGACACCCGGGATGTCGCAGGATCTCCTCCTGCATCCTTTCTCCATGACAGGCTCCCATGGCTTGGGGGTTTTACATCCTTCTGGCCAGTGCGGTGCTTCTCAAAGTCAAGAAAATTTGCCTCAACCCCAGGCTGGGTCTTTGACCCTTTGCTTTTCCCCATCATTTTTCTCCACTCCTTGGCCCCGCAGTGTGTTCGGGATGTTACACGTTGCTCTTTGGTTTAGGCGGAGCCCAGGCCTGATGCGGGGAGATGGGCTGGCCTGGCAGCTGAAGGCAGAAACCTGCTGCTGCTGGGTCTGGTTTGTGTCCTGGGGTAAGCTGAGTTGTCCCTTGTCTCCAGTTTCGCCTTAGAGATTGTTTATTCCCTTGCACCTGCAGCTGCAGTCCCAAATGCTGCCTTAATATATATATCTATATGTTAAGTATATTCTTGCTGCAGTGACAGCGGTGCAGTGATTTTGGTTCTTCTCTTCCCTGAAACCCCTTCTCGAGGGTTATCCCCACCACCCTGCTGCCCTTGCTCTCGGGTAGGAGCAGTTCTTCCATGAGGGTTGGTTTGTGTCTCCTTTGCAGGAGCCAGTTGGGTCAACGAGGATCTTTGGGTGATGGGATTTGTAGAGACCCCTTGGCATGGGGTCTGCGCCCCAACCCTGGAGTTGGGTTTTGTTGCTGGAGGAGCTCTCAGCCGAGGTCGAACACTGAACACGGATGGACTGGGTAGACGCTGGTCCTGGCCTGTCTGGCCGGCCCAAAATTCCTTTCTTCCTACCCACCCAATGGCTATAAATAACAAATAATAACAACTCCCAGGCTGGCAAGCTATTTGGGGTTTTGTGGGCTTTTTTGCTTTGTTTTGCTTTTTTGCATTTAGGAAGTAACTTTTCATAGAAACCAATATTTTTTTGACCGGATTCCTCATTGTCCCAGAACTGAACTGTTTATCCAAAGCATCGCCCAGGTGAGCAGAGAGACACTGGGGCAAATGCTTTCTGAGAGGGAAGCAAAGCTGTGCTGGATCTGTCCCAGGTGTGCTCAGGAGCTCTGGGTATTTCTCCTCCTTCCCATTCCACCCTCCTTTTCCTTTCCATGAATATCATAGAATCTGAAAATGCTTTAGTGCGTTCATTTCAGACTGAATGTAAATAAGCCATTTGGATTTTTCCCAGTTGAGCAAACTTTCAAACCAGAATTTTGCTTTCCTCTCCTCCAGCCTGGCTCGTGGGATTGGAAGCATTTGCTTCAGTGCCGTCTCTTCTGCACTCGAAACCACTTAATCAAGCTCTAAAATATCCCTTGAATAGGTCAGACAGACACCTGATTGGGCTAGGCAGCGTGTACGGGAAAACCAAGAGAGATTACACGCTCATTTTATCTGCATAAAACAGATTAGAAAGCTCCCAAACTAAGTATTACTGCAAGGTAGCGTGTTGTTAATGGCAAACGCCTTGCTAGACTGTCTCTGTTTGTGTCTCCATCCGACATTATCTCGTCCCTGACCGACTAAAGGGAGAGAGAAGGGGGGAACGGGAGCCTCTGCTGAGCATCTCCACATGGGCTGGGGTCATGACCCACAGTCTTAGATTTGGGTGCTCTTCAGGTCCAGGAGAGCTCAGATGTGGATCCAGACATGTCGAGATCCTTCTCCCTCCCTTTTGCAACGCGTCGACACCACCTAATCCTGCTAAAGAGACAGGATTTGCTTCTGAGCTCACCAGTCCAAGCCTCTGTTTAGCTCCAGTGTGTTGGAGGCGTTTTCTGTCCCATGCATCCACGTGTGTGGTGGGTACGTGCCAGGCTGGTGAGGTGTCCAGCCATCTCCCATCCCCTGATTTCTTCTCTGGAGCCAAAAGCACTTGGATAGGAGAGGGGCAGATAAATCAGAGAGATCCCAAGCAGCCAGACAGAGCATTTGTTGCATTAAGCTAAAGCTTGGGAAAGCTGCACAGGAGCCATGGGACAACCTGGGTGGGTTTGACCCCAGAAGCGTGGCTCCAGCTTTGCATTATCCCACATCCTCTGTGCCTTCCCAGCTGGGGGTCTGGGCACCACAACCGGCTGCAGAGAAGGAAACCCAGAGCCGTAAGATGCTGCGGCCGTGCTGCCCGTGCTGTGGCTCTGGTTTGCGCTGCCGGCGCAGCTCTGCCCTCCCCGAGCTCTCACACCAGCTGCTGACACGCTGCAGTTTCCTTTTGTTTGTCCAGCACTCTGGGGATGGGTTAGCTCAGTCCTGCAAGCTCATCAGGAACGAAGCATGCCTCCCACCCAAAGCACAAATACTTTTTCCCCTAATCAGAACGACTGCTGGTTGCCCCAGGAGCTCTTGCAGACACTGACCGAGCAAAGCGGGTCCGTCCTGCAGCCAGCGATCCCAGAGGGACACTTTCTACATTTGATTTTGCAGGAGTATACTCAGCTAAAGCCAACGAAACCTTACGGCTTCTTTACATCTTTCCTCTCCTCCTTTCTTTTTTTTTTTTTCTTTTTTTTCAACTCTGCGATGCTTGGTGGACTTTGGAGCTCGCTGATGTCTTGGGGCTTTTACGACGGGTGGATTTGGACTTTGTAAATGGGGAGAATAGGCAGAAAACCTGACCTGTGTGCATCTCCCGGGCTTGGCAAGCAGGAGGCAGAGAAAGTAGTTCCACATCTATCGGCTTTCCTAATCTTTTGTACCTTACGGCAGCTCTGTGATTTATTGAAGCCCGGCTTATTATTTTTAAATGCCTTATTATCTCTGTTCTCATTAAAAAAACATGTGATTCGCCCTCCCTGTGCCGCGTTACCTTCATTTCTCCCTTGTGTTTTACAAAAAGTGGTGCAGAATGGGGGAGTGGAGACCTGGACTGTCATCCCAGGCTGTTTCCCTGCATTGAGATGAGCATTTGCCCTGGCCAGGAAGGGTCTGGGGGTGCAGCTGTTATGGAGGGGCAGGCAGGGAAGGGGGTGGATGTCCCATCCTGAGGGCCGGCTCTCCTTAGGGCTTGGTCTTTTTGCCTGGGCTTGTGGTTGGTTTTAAACCCAACAGATTTAGGTCAAGCCTGGTCTTCTTCTGGTGGCAGCGAGATAGTAGCAGGGGAGGGAAGAAGGCAGAATAGCAAGGGAGAGGGAACACCAGGGGCACCTCACCTTGCTGGGGGACCCCCTGCCAGACCCCAGTGATGGAGCTGCTCCTCCCCTCTCACCCTCCCTGCTCAGCTTAGTGTGGTTTGGGGAGCAGAACCCCTACCTGGGGGGTTTTGTGCCCCAAAACCTGTGTTTAGAGGAGCAAAGAGGGCACACAGCTCAGGGGGCAGGGGATTATCTGCACGGGACCCCTGTGGAGCTGCACGACGTGTGCGTGTGCCGGTCCGGGTCTGTAAGAGGTGCCACGCAGAGCAGCATCATTTAAAGGGGATTTAAAGGAGGAGAGGGAGCCGGGCAGCTGCAGGACAAGCCTGTACCAGTGCTGGGGTCTGTCCATCTCTCCCTGTGCTATCAGGGATGATACCTCTTCCTTGGGTGCATTTTGCCAGGCTTGTTTGAGAGCTGCTCTGTGCATTCCCACTGCATTTCCCTGTGGGTCAGAAGGTGCCTGGGAAGTGCCCAGTCCCAGCAAACCAGCAGTGCAGGCGGGGAGCTGGGGGGGCAGGAGCCTGCTGGGTTTGTGCTGAGCCCACACGTGTCCGGCTGTCCCCAGCCCTGCCCCGGGGTCGAGCAGCGACCCGGAGGGCAGACACAGCCCTTCTCCCTCTCCCTCCCAGGGGATGCCATGCACTTGGGGGTCAGCGCCACCCGTACGCTCCCCAGGACGTGCAGCAACAGGGGAAGTGGGGCCGCACAAGGCAGGGAAGGAACCAAGTTACCCGAATTTCTTTCCTGTCTATTTTTGTGTCTCTTCTGGCCACCTTGTTCCAGTGGGATTTAATTTAATTGCCATCTTCCTCCCTGCATCGCTGTGGTTGTGTGTGAGAGCTCTTGTTGTGCAGGGTAATTATACGTGTGAAGTGGACATGGCAAAAACGAGCCTTGTCTCAGTAGTCGGCGGACCAGCACGCTCGCCATCCACACAGCCCGGTGCTGCTGCTTTCTCGCAGAGCTCAGGGTCTAAACAGACCGTCCTTGTCCTCAGCCCCTTGGGAACGGGCACGGAGCGGGCAAGGGATGTGATGGAGGCAGCGCAGGGTGGCCGTGGCGGAGGCAGGGATCAGCTGGAGCTCTCGCCGTGCACAGAGCAGCTGCCAACCCTTCTCCCGCTGCAGCACCTGATTTTCCAGCTCTTTTTGCCAGGGTAGATCTCTCGCTGCGGAGGGGAGCGCTGACCTTCAGGGTGAGAGCAGGGCAGGGGATCTAGCAGTGATGGAGCTGCTCTGGGCAACCCCAAAGTCTTGGCTGCTGTTTTTTAAGTCCTGAGCCAGCTCTGGGCATCTCAGAGGAGAAACCAGGGCAGCTACGCCGATGCCCAGTGGCTCGGATCCCTTCCCAGAGACCACGCAGGAGCTGCACCCACTGTGCTCTGCACTGGGTGCCTCTGACTCAGGGCTTCGTCCAGAGCTCCTCAGCCATCGGGGTTTTCATGTCTGGCTTTATCAGGCGCTGACTAAAACGCCGCAGGTCTGACTCAGGCCAGTCCAGGTTGGGACATGACAGAGGACGTAGAGGCAGCAACATGTAGTTATTATTCATATCCACACCACGCCTCTGTGCAAACACCTATAGGTGGATGACAGCCTTCTCTCTTCTCCTCTCTGTTTTGCCCTGGGCTTTCCAGGGGCATGGGAATGAGTTTTCTATTTTCTGGGCCTCACATACTGCCACTCCGCTTGGGATTCGGAGCCAGCGTTGCTGTGCAAAATTCAGTTGGAGCTGCTGACTTCTCCTTGCTTGAGCCCACAAAATTCCCTCACCTACAAGAGCTGCGAAGCTGTATCAGGATGAGCTTTCCCTCCCAGCAAACCCCCCCATCACAGGAGCTCCAGTACCCCAGGCTGGATCAACATCCTTGGAAAGGTGGAGAGGATGGCCCCGGGGGGAAACTGAGGCAGGTGGATGAGCACATGGGATGTAGTGGAGCTGGGAGCTGAGCGAGCGTCACTCCAGGCTGGTCACAGCATGTCCTGCTCCTGCCGACTCGGGGTGCGGATGGGGCCCTCCGCCTCCCTTGTAGGGCCTCTTGTTATAGTCCCTATAATTATACGTGTGGGGTCTGCCTGCCTTCCTCCCCGGCTCCTGCATGTAGGACCTCTTGTTATATTGAGTCTAATGAAGTGTCCGAGGTCTCTCTTCCCCCCACCCGCCCTTGCCTACCTGCATGTAGAACCTCTTGTTATAGCCAGGGAAATTATGGGTCTTCGGTCTGCCTCCCTTCGTCCAAGCTATAATTTAGTTTTATATAAAGTGCGGTCCAGCCCCTGTTGTGCAAGCAGTTGCTATTCCGGGTGCTGGGGAGAGGGATGGGGCAGCGAGGAGGGGGCTTGCAGTGGGTGGGGGAGCACAGCATCGCACTGAGCACCCCACAGCCCTCCTGGGCACCCCACAGCCCCTCTGCCATGGGGGGGGGGCAGCCAGCCCCCCAGCGCTGGCTCTGCGGGAGGTGGTTATGGCTTCTCCTCGCGTGGTTTCTTCAAGGGAGCGTGTGGCATTGGGGTTTATCCCCCACGGGGAATAACACATCTCTTGTTTGGGGGTTTGCTTGCCCCGTCGAGGGGGTCCCGCAGGGGCTGCTGCTGTCCCAGAGCGAGCGGCAACACGAGGGGAGGTGGCAGCCGCTTCCCGCAGGGAAGACAGTGGCTCTTTCATGGGAAGAGGGGGATGAAAAATCCAGTTTGAACTGCTGAGTGTAACCAGATCCCCTGGCTTTTTAGCGAAGGAATGTGGGACCTAGGGAGGGTTTTTGGGAGGGTGCTGTCGAACCGCTGGCGTTGCAGCGGGGTGAGCGGCCTCAGAGTGATGCAGCCCCCAATGCCCATCCCGAGCAGCGCCAAACCCCCACGCAGTGCTCCAGCTCTTCCCCCTACTCCGTACTCTGAGCTGCAAAAGCAACAGGGACAGCTGGATTTGGCTCATGCCCGAAATCAAGAGTCCCAAAGCACCGTCCAGTGCCGTTCGCAGCGGCTGGGGGTGTGCTGCGGGTTGCTGTGGGTTTGGGTGACTTGGGGGGGGGCTCTGCCCACAGCTCGGTGCACCCCGAGGTGCTCAGCTCCTGACCCCGTTTCTCTTGCAGAGGCGGGTGAGACCTCGCGCCCTTCGCCGAGGCAGACGCCAGCAGCACCGTCGGCAGAGCCCCGGCCACCTGCCCGCCCCGCTGCCAGCCCCGTGGCACCGAAGAAGGAGAAACCCCTGGAAGATGATGAGTCCCAAAAAGTTGTGACAAAGGGCCCCCGGGCCGAGCTCGCGGGCGCTCCCGAAGCTGTGACATGTGAGTGTTTCCCTCCGTGGTGGCTTGTGCAGCTCCAGACACCTCCAGGTGCCCGTGCTTTGGGCTGCTGCCGTCTAATCAGGAACAGGGCTCATTAAAAAGGCGGGCAGCTGTGGTGGGAAGCCATCTCCTCCTCGCTCTGCTCTTCCCCACATCAAAGCAAAAGGCTTTAACTGAGCGTGAGTCACCAGGAGCTGGGGAAAGTGAAGGGCGGCATCCAGCAGCGTCCTTGGGAGCAGCGGGAGGCGGAGGGAGAGGAGGATGGGCAGCTGGAGGAGCTTTCCGTCGTGTTGGGGTCCTCCTGGGATGCTGTGGTGGGAAGAGGGACCAGCCACAGCGGGAAGGAGGTGGCTGCTGTATGGAGCATCCCCCAAAGCCGCAGCGGGAGAGGGGAGAGCCCCCGGCAGAACGGGTTCCGTGGCCACAGCCACGGCGGGGGGGTGCAGCAGCCGTTTGCTGGAGCAAAGGGAGATGCTTCCCCTTGGGACAGCTCTTGCCTTGGCGTATCCAGGGCAAGGGCGAGGCTGGTGCAAAGCCGGGCTGGGGACGGGACGGGCTGCCTGCACTGAGGAGCTGGTTTTGCTGGAGGCAGTGGTGAAGCCAAGCAGCACCTCCTCCTTTCTGCTGCTGCAGACCTGCCGATCCCCCCACCGTGAGAAATACTGGGGTGGGGTAGGAGCAGAGGTGGGGGGTCAGCATGCCCTTGCTCCATTGCAGGGATGGGAAAGCGGAGCTGGCAGATGTGGGAGACCAGGGACCAGGCTCTCCTGGAGCCCCACCGTCCATCCTTTCCCTGGCCCCCAGCCTGGATCTGAGCGTTTTGCTCCCAGGCTGCCCCTTCGGCACACAGCCATTCCCCTTTTGTTGGATGCGAGCATGCAGCTTTCCCTTCCAAGGGGCGTAAAGTGAATGGATGCTTCCCAACGGGGAGAAGGGAGGGTGGGAATGAGGTTGCAAACTTCGAAGCACGGGCGGGCACGGGGTGGGAAGGGGAGGGGACAGCAAAATCCGGGCGCTCCTGCCGGCGTACGTGGAGCGAGGAGAGCGCACACGTTTCCTCAACCAGAGCTCGAGCCCTTGCAAAGCATCTGGGAGCTGGGCCGGCTGCCCACAGACATTCTGCACCTCTGAGTCACGCCGCAGCCTGCTGCACCCTGCATGGTGCGGCCCCACGCAGCCCCCTCCCCAGCCCACCCCTCCCCGGGGCAGCTGCCCCACACGCCCCGAGGCTGGGAGGAAGGTGACCGCCCGTGTCCAGGCTTGCCTGGGTGCTGGGTGCAGGGAACTCCCCCCCTCCTTCCCCTCTCCTTCCTGGGAAATGGGGTTCAGCTCCCTGCGGAGCATCACCTCCCGCACCCCTTGTTTTGCAGCCTGCTCCTCACTCTGCATCCCACTGCTGCTGTTATGGGGGGGGGGTCACTGTTGCTTGCGGGGGGTGAATTCCCTCCTTTGGCAGGACCTGGGCAGCACATTTGGGCTCCCCCATGGGAAGGCAAAGGGCTGGTGGTATTTTCATGCCACTCCAGCACATGCAAGGTCGGGGGGGGCCCAGGCAGCAAGGGGCTGTCGGATGTAGAGCCACATTCTTCACCAGAGGTGCCGGGATCACAGAGTTACAGAATCACAGAATCATCTAGGTTGGAAAAGACCTTGAAGCTCATCTAGTCCAACCCGCCCTGGGCTCAGCGCTGCTGGCCGAAGCCTCCCTTGGTTCTTAAATGAGTCTTCTGACAGTTTGGGAGCAGCCAAAACGGGGACTGCAGGTTTGGGGCTCTGGGTGTTGAGTTTCAGGTGAGAGCAGCAGGTGGCCACAACGTACTGGTTTGTCCAAGCCCCGTTAGGCTCAGGAAGGCGACATTTGGCAAAGGTGATGCCTGGGGGTGAGGGGGGGGTCACAGTGGGGCAAGGACAGCTGTGCTCTGGGCATCTGTCCACTGAGCCCCGGTGGTGCTGCCGTGGGGGAACCTGAGCTGAGCCGGCACCGCAGCTGTGCCGGGGAGCGTCATCTCGGGTGTGGGACACGAGGTGAATGTCCAGGAGGTTTTTGATCGTGGAAGAGCCAAAGGGAGGTGCTTTCCCCCAAAGCTCTGGTTTCCCACCCTGGTGCTGGTGGGTGGATGCGGTGGGGGCTGTCGGGCCCCGCGCTCCTGCCCTGGCACCCGTGTTATTAGGGGGTGTTATACACTGCTCCACCTCGGTTTGAAGGTGGCTCTTTCAGAAGAACTTTGGGCTCCTGTGAGTTGAAGGCTCTCATAACAAATGGAAGCTATTTTTCCTAACTTAGAGGGGGAATTACTGGCTGCCTTCCGCTGCCACTCGCTGGAGCGTGATTTTGATTTACAAACAGTTTAATCTGAGGAATGCAGCAAAACGGAGCACGCCAAAGCCAGCATGTTGCACGCTGATGCACACCCCCAGAGAAGCCCAGCCCTTGAAGCTGCAGAGTATTTGCTGCCGTGGGGCACTGCCGGGCCGAGCTGCTGGGGGGGTCCCTGTGGGCTCAGCCCCTGCCCGGGCAGCCCCGGGGCACCACGGGCACGCTCCGGCACGGGCAGTCAAGGGCGGTGCAGAAGGGCACATAGGAAGCCAACACCCCCCAGGAGTTTGTTGGGTTTTTTTGGGGGGACACATCCCATTTTGTCCAAGACCTGTTTTCCATTTCTCCTTTCTGCCCTTCTCGCACCCCTCCTGCTCCCAGCCCGCTCTTCCCGCTCAGCTCCGGTTATTTTAAGTTCCCTTCCCAGCGTGTGTCAGAGACGCAGCCTTTCACCCAAGCACCCGGTTAAACTTCCTCCGCGGTCTGAGCCCAGCTTAGTCTGGCAGAGCCGGGCGCTGGGTCCATGCATTTCTGTTTTTTTAACCTCCATCTATTTTATTTTCACCGGCAAGGGCGGATGCAGGACAGAGCCCGTCTGTGCCCCCTCCACCCTGTCGGTCTCCCCGTGTCCCATGGCCACCCCACGCAGAAAGCAGCTCCTGTTCCCCAGCAGCTGGAGGTGCCTTTGCCCTCGAGCCTCTCGCCTGAATCATCCCTTGTTTACTGCCGCGGGAGAGGAAAATCAAAGTTTGGCCAAAGCACCATCAGGCAGGATTTTATTTGTGGCTTCGCTTGGTGCTGCTGCGGGCAGGGGGATGGATGGATGGATGGATGGATGGATGGATGGATGGATGGATGGATGGATGGATGGATGGATGGATGCTTGAACCCCCCTCCCTTCTGCTGGGCTCCCAGTCCTCTCCCCCACCTCAGGAGGCAGCGTGGAGCCGCGGTGCGGGGCGAGAGCGAAGGGCTGAGCCTTGCCACTGGCTCCAGCAGCATCCCAGCGGGGCGCGGGGCCGCCGGCCTCTCCCCCCGCAGTGTGCGAGGGCTGGAGGGAGGCTCAGACAGAGCAGATAGTTATTTTCCTCCTCCTGCAGAGAAGTTCAGCCAGAGGCTGGGGAGATCTTTAATTAAGTGACCGATTCACACAGTCCTGAGGAGTTGAGCAGCCTGGCTCTCGGGCAGCGTTTCACCTTCTCTGGCTTTGCGGAGGGCGATGGGGATGGCCAGGAGCTCCGGCAGCAGCGCTGCGCCCAGGGCTCATGGGACGGTGGCTTGGCTAAGGGGTGGCTCTGGGCTGGAAGCAGCCACAGGCTCTTCTCTTCCCCACTTGGCACAAGGTGAATTTGCCTCGCTGTGCCTCTGCACCCACTCGGGTTGGCCACGGTGGCTTCATCCCTCCTGCCTGTGCCGGCAGCGCTCCAACCCTGCCAGACCTCCTCCTCCAGGTCCTCTGCTGCCCTTCCAGCAAATCTTTATTGTGTGCTCTTTTTTTCATGCCTTCCTCTCTCTGGAGCCTCTCTCTCTTTCCCTCAAGCCATCGCTTCTTAGCATCTCCTTTTCCATCCTCATCCTCTTGGTCCGTGTGTCTATTAGCATCACTTCTTCCCAGCCACCAGGTCACCCCGAGTCCACCTGGTGACGGAGTGCCCAGGTGGTGGCAGAGGACTGGGGACGTGTTCCTCCCCCAGTAAAGCGCTGCAGGGAGGGCTCAGGGTTGGGTAACATTGTTCTCCCCCTGACCAGGCCAGCCCCAGGTGCGACCAGCCCCGCAGCCCCCCAGCCCCTGCACCCATCTGCTGCAGAACAGCGCCGGGCGGGGGCCGGACCCAGGCGGTGCCAACGGGGAGGCCGGGAACGGGGTCTTCCGCCCCCTGCCCAGCACCCAGAAGCCTCACCGAAAGCTGCAGTCGCACCACTCCATCAACAGCCAGAGCAGCAAGAAGAGCAAGGGCAGCTCCAAGTCGGCCTCTTCCCACATCCCTATTGAGGCGCAAGAAGGTACCGGCTCTCCCCGGGAAGTGTGTGTGGGGGTGTGTGTGTCCCTTTCCAGCCATTCTCCTCCAGCCCTGCATCCCTTGGGGTCTCTCAGGTAGCATCTGTCCAGCCTACGGGGACCCCCAGTCCTGGGCACCAGCTGAGCACCCCTCCTGGCAGCCTGGTGCTGAGCAGGCTCATCTCATGTCCTCCAAAACTGGTCTCTCTTGGGGTCTGGGGATGACCCCTGGTGTTGAGGGAGGTCCGTGGAGCAGTGCTTGGCTCCCAGCCCCTCTTCCTATCCCTTCCATTCATTCCCGAGGGACGATTTCCACCCTTACGGGGCTGAGCATCCATCCACCGGGTGCTGCCTCACCCAGCCGGGCCCGTCCCCCCCTGCCCACTCTCTGGCTGTTCCTCCGCAGACTGCTGCGTCCACTGCATCCTCTCCTGCCTCTTCTGCGAGTTCCTGACCCTCTGCAACATCGTGCTGGACTGTGCCACCTGCGGCTCCTGCACCTCCGAGGACTCCTGCATCTGCTGCTGCTGCTGCAACTCGGGCGAGTGCGCGGACTGCGACCTGCCCTGCGACATGGACTGCGGCATCATCGACGCTTGCTGCGAGTCGGCCGACTGCCTGGAGATCTGCATGGAGTGCTGCGGGCTCTGCTTCTCCTCCTGAGGGGCCGCACTCGCCGGGGGGGAACCGCTCCTGGCCCCCCCCACAGCGGCCGAGGGTCTGGCCGGTCCCTGAGCCGGTGTGAAACGCCAAAAGACGGAGGAGAGCGATATACCCCCATTGCAAACCTCATCCTTGGAGCTGGTGAGCTGGGCTCGGACCCTGCCTGGGGAAGGGTGAATCCGTTAGGGCCGCGGGGACTCCGGGGACGGCCGGCATCTCGTCACGCTCTACCTCTTCCCCGCACCGGGCTGGTTCACCAAGGACCGCGGGAGCCTCCTGCCACCTGAGCCGAGAGCAGGAGCTCCCGTCCCGTGCGCCCCAGAGCCCACGGGTGTCACCCCGGGGGTCCCTGCGTTGGGGACAGCCACTGCCAGCGCCCGGGGCTGCCCCAGGACAGTGCTCTGGTTTACACAGGGGTGACACAGACCATCTTCCCCCCTCCCTGGGACACCTCCAGGGCTGGGCACAGAACAGAGCCTTGCTCTCCGCCAGGCACTGGGAGATGCCGAAGCCTTTAGCCAGGCTGTGGGACACATCCTGCCAGCCCCCACCCCTCCTCGGTGCTGAGATCGGCAGCCAAGTGCAATACACACAGTCTGCTCCCCTCCCTGGTCCACTGGCTGGGAAGAAGCTTTTCCTTCTCCAGTCCCTGCAGCGGGGTTGCAGCCGGGGGCCAGGGCAGCTGGGGAGAGCCCGCAGCCGTACCAAGCTGCTCCCGACCCCCGTGTGTCCCCAGGGGCGGTGGGGCAGAGTGGCCTGGTTGGTGCCAAATGACCCCCAGCAGTTTTGGCCCCGTCCCACCAGCCCGGAGACAGGGCTTGTGGCTGGGTGGGGATGGAAAACATCCCGTTGAAGGGCTGGGGAGACGGGGAGGGAAGTGTCATGGTATTTTTGTATTTTTTTGTCCCTTTCGTTTGTTACTGTAAATAAAGGTCTTTCTTCATTTCCGACCAACGGCTGCCCCATGACATGCTCTGCAGGGCACAGCAGCTCGCAGCCACGCCGTGTCCCCCATCCTGCTCCCAGCTGCAGGGGCGCAGGGGCTGGTGGGGAGGCTGCAAGGCTCCTTTGGCCTTGGCGACATGGGACAGCTTGGTGACAGCCCCAGGGGGCTCCTGTTTTAGTCCTTGGGATGGAAAACGCGAGAGGACTCCCTGTCCTTCGCTTAGGGAACAGGTCAAGGTCCTGGTGTGCCGCAGCCTGGCACCAGCTCCCTGCCCTGCTCCTGCAGCCGTGGGCCAAACCCTGAACCCCACTGCAGCACTGTCCCCTGCTCCTCCCAGGGCTCTGCCCTGCAGCGCAGCCCTCGAGCTTCTTCATCTGCCCCAGGGACACAACTTCCCCGAAGGAGAAAATAAATGATGCAAATTCCTGTCTTCGGGGCTGCGGTGGGCACCGGCTGCCCAGGGTTGGCAGGAGGCTGTGGGAGCTGGCAGCCCGCCGAATTTGGGTGGTTTGGGTGCTCCTGCTGCCACCCACCATCTCCCAGCCCTGCCGTGGGACCACCAGCCGTGCCGTGCCGTGCCGTGCCGTGCAGCTGAGGGACCAACAGCCCCCACACCAGAGGCTCGCTGCCCCTTGGGGGGCTCAGCCATCCCGGCAAGGCTGCTGCCTGGGCTGAAGTTGAATGAGGAGGGAAAAATACTTAAAAATCGAGGCCAAATGGGTCAGTTGGTCACGGCGACACAGGCTGGTTTGGGATCTGGGCTGCCTGCCCTCCGGCGCTGCTGCTCAGCCATGAAACCTATTTTTAGTGGTGAGCTAAAGGCAGCCGGAGCCCAGCGCAGTGCAAGTGCATGGAGGGGAAGAGGATGGTGCGGGCAGCCTTCCTCCACCCCACGCACGGCAGCGAGGACTCAGGGTGATGGATTTTAGCCCTCGCTCTGGTTCCGGATGCTTGGGCTGAGCCCTGGAGCGTGGGGCCGAGGAGGTGGGATGCACAGCAGTGCCCACCCCAGGTCGGACGGGACCGGGGCCCCATCCGGCACTCGCAGGGTCGGTGGGAGCTTTTCCACAGGCTCTGGCTGAGGCTCTGCTCCAAACCGTTTGCATCCTTGGCAAGGAGGGACGGAGGAGCTGGCCTTCCCCAGCCTGGCCTCACTTGTGGTGCTAATTAGGGAGGTTGGAGCTGGCAGGGCTGCTCTCCGCACCAGCCGTGGTAAGGAGTGCTGCCGGAGCCTTTTAATGGGGAACAGATTCCCCCAGTGCGGGAGGGCCCTGCGGGCTGGCCGTGCTGTGCGTGCTTGTGTCCCGGCGTGGGAAGGGGGTGGCATGCACCCCTGAGCGCCCACCTGTCCCCCCACCTGCTGCCTCCACTTTGCTCCAACATAAAAAGCCCTTTTAATGCTTCTCCCAAGGCACCAAGTGCCCCCCCAGCAGCTCTGTCCCCCCGCTGCAGCTTGAAACTCCTGGGCAAGGCCAAGCAGGGAGGTGGGGAGCAGAGCTGGGCTCTTCGTGGAGCATGAGGTAGTGCTGAATGTATGTGATGTTCACGCCTACGACTGTACTTCAGTGACGGCTGCCTTCGAAAAAAATGCAAATAAAATAGCAGTTGCCTGTGCAGGGCTACCCAAAAGCAGAGCTCAGCCTTGCAGAGCGATGCTCTGCAAAGCCACGCTCAGAAAGGTCCCACCTTCCCCACCGGCTGTTCAGGGCTGAACACTGGAAGGGGCAAAAAAAGATTTTTTTCCAGCCCATAGCCCAAGCCTGGGGCATATTCACTGCCCTGAGCAGTACTGGCTGCTCTGCTTGTGTCTTGGGTGCTCCTGAAAATCATAGGGACTGTTCTGGGTTGTTGGAATGATGGACCAGAGCAGGGAATGATGGACCAGAGCAACTCAAGTCCCCAGAAAAGGCTTGAAAAGCCAAGTTCAAGCCTTCCTTTGGATGCAAGCTGATGCTGGCCATCCACCTTGCAAACCACCGGGGAAGGCAAGAGTTAAACCCTCCTGCCTGGGAATTAATTAACAACAGATGTGCTCAGTTTTAACTAATTACTCTCCTGCCAGCACTTGGTTTTTACAGTTCCCTCAGAAGCCTCTTAGAGCCGGGAGCCATCACACGGTACCCGCATGGATGCTGGCCCCGCAGGCTGGGCTGTGCTGGGCACCCTGGGCTGGCTCAGCCTCCTTCCCTGGCCCCTCACTCGGCGTCTCAAATGAAACAATACAATGAAAAGGGCTAAAATTCATCCAGTCCAGTCACCTATACTAGCTTTGCTCTGGTGTTCCTGGCTTTAGATCAGCTGAGTGGTGGGGTCCCCCCAGGAGCAACACGTGTCTGCATCCCCGGGATGGGCAGTGCATGATCCCAGCTGGGCATCGGTGCTGCTTGGCCAATATTCTCTGCTGGTGATTTATTATGGACAGGACACTGGGTACATAAATGATGGGAGCTGATTGCTAATAGACTGCCAGGGCTGTTCCTGGGGCTGCATCTGTGCTGCCAGGCTCCCGTGCTGAGCGTGTCTAGAGATGCAGCCGGCATATAGCAAGATGTGCAACACAAGGCTTGGAAACTACGCAGAAGCTGTGGCAGGCAGGTGAGAAAGCCTTCTGCTTCAGGGCTGGCTCACCCCGTTGCCGTGAGGTTTCTGGGCACCCTCTTTTTCCACGTGCCGTAGGCGGCTGGAGGATTCTGTACGGATGAGTCCTGCATTCGAGCAGCTTGGATGCACCTCGGCTCCTTCAGTGGAGACTCGCTTTCAACAGCCCGAGCTATTTCTGTCCACAATCACAATCAATAAAGCAAGAGAGGATTTTATTTTCCACTCCAAATACTTTCTTCATCCTGTTTCCTCCCAGTTCACACGGCAGACTGGGGCACGCTCCAGCAAGGAGGCCCACGAAGCCGTGTCCTCCTCCTCCTCCTCCTCCTCCTCCTCCTCCTCGTCCTCCTCCTCGTCCTCCTCCCCCCTGCCGATCCAGTCCCCCACTCCTACTCCCACTCCTGCCCCAGCCCCAGCCCCGTGCAACCCCGACGGTCCCTTCTAATTCACCACAATCCAAGGGGCAGGTTTTGCTGGGAGTGGGGTGGGAGAAAGGCATTTGCACGTGTGCGTGCCTGCACACACACTCACACACGCACACACACACACAAGAAAACATTTTCAGAGCCAAAGGGAAAAAAAAATAAAACTAGGTCTTTGGAAGACACAGCAGCTCATGTAATCCCAGGTTCTGCTGGGCTGCCTCTGCACAGTGCGGCGATGGGGGGACGGGCCGAGGGGAGACGACTGCAGTCTATTAAACTTCCTTTGAGAACCTGCCAGACTGACAACAGCTGGAAGGAATTAACATTTCAGGTCCACCAGCTCCTCTCCTCGCTTTCACCCTTCCCCAAAAACCAGCTTGAGGCCACAGGCCCAGCAGCATCACTTTTTCCCACTCTTTGGCGTCCAGCAGTATCTGGTCCGATCTGATTTCTTTAATTCTGAACCTGCCAGAAACGTGAGCATCTGCTGAATGAAAAATCCCGGTGCCTGCGCTGGCACAAAAACCAAGTTTGCGTCTCTCGTGTGTCCTAGAGGGTTGGGACCGAGATGGGGTGTCACAACAGCACTGCAAGGTGGCTTCAAGCCATCTCGCACCTCTCAGCCTGTTGTACAAGGGACAGCGCTGTCAAAGAAGGAAAAAAACACCCAGACCCCTGCCACGCAGGGCAGCACGGACACCCTGCATGCGTGCAAGAGGCAGGGAAGGGTTTGTTGGCCGGTGAAACCCCACCAGCTGCCAGAGAGCCTGTGTTTGCTGTCATTTTGGGGTCGCCTCATGCTGCGCGTGCACCCGTGCCAGGGGGAGCCTCATTGCTGCCCATCCCCTGATTTTTGAGGACCCACACCCCGGCGAGGGGGTGCTGCCAGCCCAGCAGCCTGGCCCCTTTGCTCTGGGAGGTGGGAGCTTGGCAGGAGCCAGGTGGGGGGGAGTGGGGTGGGACAGCTCTGTGCTGCTCTTGCCAGCAGAGATTACACAGAAAGTTATCGTGCCTCGAGGGAAGGGGGGTGCAGAAGCTGTCTGAGCTCTGCGATAGCTGAAGCAGTGCAGAATTGGCAAATGTTGGAGGGTTTTGCTGCCAAACGGCAATCTGCCTGAAAGCGCCGGCTCCTCCAGCCAGCCTTGGAGGCTGGGACACAAGCGGAGACCATATATCCCCACGTTCTGCCTTGCTACCAAGTTGGAGAAGGAAAATGCAGAAACGCTCGTGTTAACCCTCTCCTGGGTGCCTGGGGAGGAGCGGAGAGAAGCGGAGCAGTCCGGTGAGCCCCTCACCCTTAGGCACGGCCAGAGACCTGGGCAAAGAGGGCTCTGCCCCCGGACAAACACTGAGATCCTGAGGGACACCACAAGGGACAAAGCCAGGATGCACAGGACAGATGGACCTGTGGCCCCTGGGCTCATACACAGGTACATATATCCAGGGACCACCGCTCGACTTAATGCACCCCCTTCCACCTCCTGCCCAAAGGCAGAGAAACACGGTTGAAGCCCAGCTGTGGGAGAGCTGGACAGACATACGGACCCTGTCTTGCCCCAGTGGGTATTTTCTCTTGCCCAAGAGCATCCTGGAGCTCAGCATCACCACAGACTCCAGCGCCAGGGCTCAGGGCAGAGCTGGTGGCTGGAAGGAGCGGGTCCATCAGGGAGCAGATGACTTTTCCAGCATTGGAGAAGTCAGGAAGACAAGAGGGAGAAACAACTACTTCAGAGCTCCGTGTGTGGTCCAGTCCTCCTGCCGCGGCCGCCTGGGGAAGGCACGGCAGCCCTGGGCTTGGGCACACCTGGGCCGGGGCACAACAAAGCCGGATTTTGGCCCCGAAGCACCACGCTTTCCTGCATGACCATTACCAGGGCTGATTCCACCCTCTGGGCTCCTACATACAAGCCCCACGCTGGGTGCCGTGTCCTTTGTAGGTGCAGAGCAGTGGCCTGAACCAGGAAACATCACTAAT